GATTAACAATGCACAACTAAGTGGATCAATAGGAACAAAGTGCAAGTATATACATGGAGGGATTTTCACACACATACGAAACATTCAAAACGAGTCTTACACACTTAAAAGATAGAACAAGGCACAGGGTGACATTGGAAGCCCGACCATCGTCGTTTTTATACACACAATAGATTTAATCGAGAAGTAGACACTTTGATGTTAATTAAGGTAAAACCTATACTATCTCATGATCACCAAGGTGTTAAATGTGCTTCAGATATTCAAAGTTTGACAATATATTTTTCATTCTGAAGATGCTAACCTCATCAACTTAAAAGTCAAAAATGGAGGAGTTCGAAGATTTATTCGGCAGGCTGTCGATATGTTGTAAGCGTTAGTTGTATGTTGACTGGTAGTTGAAATGTACACTCATATGGCCTACACACTGGTGATCTGGTTGAGATGAGTGACCGAAAGCTTTCTGCTGAAGTCTGTCCAGTAAATCTAATCAGGTTGGAATCACTGTTGAAGACCCGCAAAACAATTTATTTCGGAGGACTCATTTACCGCCAACGTGTGGATTTGATGAATTCTCTTTATAGGAAATATCCCATTATTTTACCATCCTGCACGAAATAACGCGGCGTTTAGTTGCGAATTCACCTGAGTTGGCGACAAAGTTTTCTAAGTAATGTCTAATATATTTCCCCTTTTTTCTAAGCGTGGGTGGTTCCTGCAATTTCTAACTAAGTTCTAAGTCTACAGAAATGAAGCAGCTGGAAGTCTACTGGACATTCTAGAGATCCATGATTGCTCATGGATTACGATTAGCTTGTTGTGCGCTCGTTTCAAAAAGGGCAGTGATTTTTGTACTTGTCGTGATCATACTTGCTTTGGGTACTTATTGCACCAAAAAGCATTCTTGGTCTACCTTAACTTAAAGTACCTTGGTTAAAATTTGAAATTTTTTGCCAAGTTTTCTCCTGAGAACCTTTTTTTACTCCTGACTAACACTTGTGTTCACATTGTGATCATTTTGTGTTTTTTAAACCTTTTAAGTCGAATTACAATGGTTGGTAAGACTCACAAATGTGGGCAACCAATTTGTTTGTTCCCCGTGGAGGAGGGAATGCAATGTGACGATTGTAAAAAGTGGTACCACAAAATATGTACACGCCTAAGTTCGACGGCTTACAAAAGATGCTCGAAGCCTAACTCACAATGGCTTTGTATGTTCTGCTGTACGGATAAAAAGGCACTAATACAGGAGGCTATGGGCCTATTGGCTTTGGCCTGCAAGAAAAACGATGGCGGAAGCACTGATAACAGGAGCACTGACGATGAAGAATGTGTCAGTGTAGTAAGTGCTGCTACTGGACCCTTTAAACACCTGACTGTGGTTGACGGGAACGTGAAATCTCCGTTGACATTAACGAGGAATGAAGTGCCGCTTGATATTGACATCGGCAGTCATACACCTCTAGTCGAAATAGAAGATCCGGATAAAACTGTCACCGTTCCACGTAGTCCAGGTGTGGCTGTCCTGAGTGGTGACAAATGGACTTCAGTAAGGAGAAGAAGAAATGGAAGAAAAAGACTGTAGGCAAAACGCAGCTGGCCAGCAAGGCATTGGAAGGGATGTTATCAGAAGAAAAATCCTCACTGCGTGACAAGACAGATCTCTCTGAGAGATCAGTCATTTTTCATAAGATAAGAGAATCTTCAGATAAAGAACCAAAGGCGAGATTTGAACACGATCTCAATCATATTAAGACATCATTAAGTAAACTACTCCCAGATACAGTTTCAGGAGTCAGTATTTGTAAGCTTTATAGAATAGGAAAAAAGGTGGATTCCGAAAGTCCTCCGAAAAACCGCCTCCTAAAGGTTACATTCAACACGGTGGAAGAAAGGAACCTGATTCTAAGTAATTCACGTAAACTGATAGGATCCGGAATATATGTCCGTGAGGATCTCAGCCTAGCTGATCGTATTAAGAGGGGAGCTGCAGAAGCGGAAATAAATGAACGTCGCCAAAACGGGGAAAGAAACCTTGTTCTTAAGGGTTTTCAAGTTGTAAAAGTTCGGAGCAAAACGATCCCCAAGCCACTCTGGGTGGCAAGGGAAAGCTCTCCACAGACTTAAAGGTATGCTACACAAATGCTCGCAGCCTACTAAATAAAATGGCGGAGCTGAAGTCAGTGGTGGATAAAGAAAAACCGGACGTTATCGCTGTCTCGGAAACTTGGTTAACGTCAGAAGTATTAGATAGTGAAATCCAGTTGACTGGTTTCATAACCAGTAGGGCTGATAGATTAAACCGAAGGGGGGGCGGGGTTATTCTGTACACGAAAAGTACCCTAACCATAAGATTAGCTGAGACAGTAGCACATGTTTCAGGGACATGTGAACTGGTGAGATGTAAGTTGAAATGCCGAAGGCAAGATATTGAAGTAGTTGTAGTATATCGCAGTCCAGAATGTGTAGCAGATGATTTTCTCCTAGTAAACTTAAGTCCTGGTGTAACAACGGTAAAAGCCTTGTAGTAGGCGACTTTAATGCACCACATATAAACTGGGTTAACTTAGAAGTAGGGTCATCCATATCGTCGTTCGACTCCAAACTGTTAGAAACCTCGATTGGACTAGCATTATTCCAACACATTAGAGATCCCACAAGATACGACTTAAGAAACTCTTCTCTCTTTTAGATTTAGTCTTCACACACGGTGATGACGTTGGTCAAATGGCTTTTCTCCCACCACTTGGGAGAAGTGACCATGCAGTCATCTTATTCAAATTCATGGCTGAGATTGCTTGTCAAACAGTTGCGCCGGCCCGTCCTAACATATGGAAGGCAGATATGCAGGCAATTAACTCCGCAGCATCGGCTGAGAACTGGGAAATTGACTCAAAGGCATCAGTACAAGAGGCATGGACTCTATTCAGGCAGTTATACAATCGGGTAACTCAACCATACATACCCTGGACTGTCCCAAAGAAAAAGAAGCACGGACATCCCTGGATAGGGCGGGATATTCGACGCTTACTAAGACAAAAGAAGAAATGCTGGGATGTTGCCATCCGCCTTGGCACAGCAGGTACGATGGAACGCTACAGATCGATAAGAAACGAGTGTATAACTAAAATTCGGGAAGCGCAAAGAAAATATGAAATGCAGCTGGCACAATCTGCACTCAAGCAGCCCAAGAGGATATTCTCGTACATAAACTACAGAACAAGGATTCATCATTGGATTCCCAACCTAATTAAAGTAGGAAGTGAATCTGAAATGATAGAGGAAGATCAGGAAAAAGCTGAGGTTATGGCTGACTACTTTGGGGCAGTTTTCACTCAGGAACCTCCTCTAGAGAAAGAACCAGACCCAATTACAGAGTCAACAAACCAGCTGCTCACCGTGGACTTCGACCAAAACGATGTGCTTAAGGCTCTTAGCACCCTAAACATGGAGAAGTCAACAGGACCAGATGAACTACACCCTAAAATCTTGAGACATATTGCCCAATATATCGCAGCCCCACTGACTGTGATATTCAATATGTCACTTGACCAAGGTGTGTTACCTATGGACTGGAAGGACGCAATCGTCACTCCCATACATAAAACAGGTCCACGACAAGTTCCATCGAATTACAGACCCGTAAGCCTCACCAGTGTTGTAATTAAAATACTGGAAAGAATAATCAAACGGACCATAACGGCATTTATGGAAACCAATAACTTGCTGAACATGGCACAACATGGTTTTAGAAAGGGTCTATCCTGTACAACGAACCTCCTTATAGCTAGGGAGCTCTGGATTAATGCGCTAGACAACGGAAACTCAGTGGATGTTGTCTACATAGACTTCAGTAAGGCTTTTGACAAGGTGCCAACTAATAGACTGCTATTGAAGTTGGCAAACCTTGGTATTGCCGGACCTCTTTTAAAATGGATTAAGGATTTCCTAGTAGGTCGTAAACAAAAAGTAAGAATAAATTCCAAGTGCTCCATCTGGAGACCAGTACTTAGTGGAGTACCCCAAGGTTCCGTCCTAGGTCCTTTACTTTTTATAATGTACGTTAATGATCTTACAAGTATAGTACAGTCTCCAATGTTATTATACGCTGACGATGTAAAAATTTGGCGAGTAATAACTGGAGACAAAGACGCATTTACTCTTCAGGCAGACTTAAATAATATGATAAACTGGTCTAAAGAGTGGCTGATGCCTATCAACTCGGAAAAGTGTGTCTACATGCACTTGGGGGATTCAAAGGTTAATACGTACAACATAGGGGATGTGTCATTACCCGTAGTCCGGTCTCATAAGGATCTAGGGGTGACAGTGAGTAATGATCTTAAGACGACGGCCCATTGCCGGGAGGTCGCAGCCAGGGGTTTTCGAACCCTCTGGGCTTTAAAAAGGACATTCACTAAGTTAGACACTACCATGTTCACCACAGTATACACATCCTTAGTGAGAACTAAGTTAGAGAACTGTGTTCAGGCTGCAAGCCCCTGTTTAAAAGGTGACTCGGACATACTAGAAAAAACAGAGGGCAGCTACCCGTGCAATTCCGGAACTCCGGGGTTTATCATACAAAGAGCGGCTTGAAAAACTGGACCTCTTTACTCTGTCCTATCGCAGACTAAGGGGATATCTAATTTTGATGTACAGAATACTGAAAAATGATTTCGGACCTAACTTATTCTCTCTCTTTCTTTCCACTAGATCGGGACACCTTAGAGGACATAGCAGGCGAGTAGAAAAGCCAAGAACGAACAAAATACCCGTGGCATACAGGTTTTCACACCGAGTCATCAATACTTGGAACCTGCTGCCTAAAGCAGTGGTGTCCGCACCTTCAATTGACTCTTTCAAGAGAAGACTGGACACTCACAGAAGCATACTAGAAAAGGAATAGCATAGGCCGTAGGCCTTCTGTCCTTACTACACAAATCTGAATCTGAACTTGGCCAACTTATTGGCCATTGAATTGAGCCACAATTCGAAACATGGACTTGTTTCCGCAGTACTGTAGTGTAATTAAATATTTAGAGAAATATTCTCATATAAAAATGTTTGAAAAGCACCTGATCAAAACATTTCGTGGGAAAGTAATTGAATTTAACACTGAGTCACATTAGCAATTTAGAAACGACCAGTATGTGTCATTCCAGTTTATCTTGCTCTGCATGATTTATTAGAAGAATCAGGTAATTTGTTGCCAAACTACGGATGATTCTTTTTCAATCATAGGGCCGAGTCTAATGTTCGCTGTGTATCGGTTCTCAAAACTAGAAAAACTTCTCCAAGAAGTAAGTGTTTTTTGAAATTCTGCTGGGTACTCAGACTCTCTGTACAGACTATATATTGGATAGATATTATTCATTGAGTTTAAATTAACTGATATCGTATGTAAATATCAGAGTAGCAATCTTGTTTATTTGAATCATGCAGAGTAGCTCGCAATGTGGTCTTGACGTGGATACATGTATCCACTATCTACAGATAGTAAACGTTTATCAATGAATCTCATACTATTTAGTGAAAAACAAGTTTTAATTATTACAGATATCCTTGGTTATCTAAACTTCTACCAGATCATGACCAACGAAGTCGCACATTCAAGGTAAAAATTCATGATATATATATATATATATTCAACTACTTATCAATACATAATTAGACACCTATGTACAAGTCAGAACTCTGCACATAAATGGATAGGCACAAAATGTCACATCACATCAGTTCAGCGAGATGAAATAATCAAGGTGGATTCTAACCTAGAAGTAGTACCAGTCCCAGTAAAAGAGACTAGAAATAACAATTCTGGTTAGAAGATTAGGGATAATTCGAGAGAACATAAGGGATAAAATAATTTTAAAACTCTAGAGGAAAACAAGGAATGAATCTATCTGAAACCTGAAAATGACTCTGATAAATATTACGTGACATCCTTATCAATGAAGTTGGTTAGTAAAATCTCACAAACCTTCAATGCGTAGTCCACATATATGTAATCAATCGTTCCAAGAAATATATAGTCAAACATCAATAACCTAGTAGTGTCCTCTTCTTTTGAAGACCACATTCGGGAGCCGTAAAGTAAAACAGAGCAAAGAGCTCCACACCATATTAGCCTTCGATAATTTACATCAGCCGCGTTTACTAATTTTTTAAAATTCTGTTTTCAAAAAACACTAGCGAATAAGACGGTTGACTAAATCAGCATACTTTAGTAAGTTTTTTGGATTGAGATCCACAGCTGAAAGAAACACTCTCTTGCTACAAAGTATTTTGAAATATAGACACGTTATGAATGGTTATTTCGATTGTTTCATTATTTTTTAACTAACGTGTTATGAATTATTTGATGGTTTTTAAGCTGCGTCTAAACTGTAACTACGTCTTTCATCAAGAACAAATCTTATAAGGATTTGGATTCACCCGAACTTTCCAGAAAGATGTTTTTACGCAAGGTTGTGAAGTGTTGTGGTATTTCTCTTTGAATTTGTTCCCAACCCAATGCACGTAAATTACAAATACGAAACACGAAAGTAGGCCGATGTAATTCATATTCATTGCGAGAAGTTACAAAGCATTTACATAATAGATATAAATAGCCCTTAATTATCTGCTTTCTTCCTCCAGTGTGTTTTGCAACCTGAATTGTCTTTTCTACTGACCTCCAAGTGTTCTGCCAAAGCCTTGCTTTGATGCACTGAAACTACTCAATCTGTCTAACAATTTTTTCAACTTCAACACCGCGTCTTGTTATACACTACTTACAAACGTCCTTGTGAGTAGCGTCTACTATACAAACATCACAGTTTCGCTTTCACACAACGAATCCTTTTCTTTTTCGCAGTTATTTACCTACTTAAAAAGCTAAGAAAGTCACTTATTCTGAAAATAATAAAAAAATTGGTTACAATGGCCAAAGCATGCCTCAGGAGAGGATATCGGCAAGTTTTTCCTGATTGCCACTAACTCGTTTCACAGCGAATATATGTATTTCTGGGTTAGACGGACATTATTAAAACATTTCTAACAATAATGGGAGACTGGATTTGTTTAAAAAGTCGATATTGCAATGCGAATCACTGACTTGTAGTTAAAGGGCGCTGATCATCCTCTTTTTGCATCTTCAGTAACATATCTTTTAACAGTAGGAATAATGTGTGTAGTTAGGATATAGAGTTAAAGTAAGTGTTGAGAAATAACTGTAATCTGTGTGTTCAATAGTTGGTTTGAAGCTTCAATAGATTTATCTCTCAAAAATGATGTTTATTAAACGTTTATCTGATGTCAGTCATAAGTTTTAGAATGACAAGTTAGTTATCTATATCATATCTGCTCGCCTGCAAGTCCGTATGCTTTGAACAAAGAAACCTTGTTCTGATTGGGTTCGTGTTTGTTTATATATTGTAGATAATATTTTGTCTTGCGGTTGAAATCGATATACTATCGTGCGATGATGATATAAACTCTATTATTGTGGAAGTAATTTTCACAGACATTTTATGCATCCCAGAGTGAGTAAATACATCTTATGCAGTTCTTTGAAGAATTCAATATAACAATAGCTACAAATTTACTAAAGATTGTTTGACTGTCATAGAAGGTGTTGTTATAGGAATAACACATGTTCATTCGTTCACCAAAGCAGTTCTGTATTCATGTCCAGAACATCTTTGTCCGGGAAATAACAATTACTTTATCCAACATACAACGGACATTTACAAAAGGTTGACGAGGTAAGATGTTTAAAAACTGTAACTTATTATTGAGATTCCAATGCAAATTTTGTCATACAGATCTGAGAGAAGAAATGGAGAAGAGGTTGTTCTCAAGTGCGTTAATAAGTTTCGAAACGTTTTAATTCAGAAATTAGACTTATTGTCAAGCAAAACCGTACAGATTGTCATTCAGTTTATTTATTTTCATTCGCGAACTAATTTTTCACTTTAGATATTCCAATTTACAAAATTTTGATTCCTTGTTTTGACATTGCTTTGTAACGCACGAAATTTACTTTCCATTTTATTTAGTTATTACTTTCATCTTGTGAAGCCAATAATGTTTAATTACATCAGGTTTCCTTACAGTATTTTAAAAGTTGTAACCATTCAAAACTAACCACATTTGCAAAACATCATTTTCGGCTGAAAAATATGTCCTAAAAAACAATATGTGAAATAGTTCATATCTGATAACTCATTTGATAAGAAAAGTGTACTTAATTGTAATTTAAAAAATGATATTTGTTTACTCATTTGGATGTCGGTTTATTAGATGTAAAAGCGTTCATACAAACTGATGATGTTACGATTTAGTGATATCGATTAATTTAATCTCTGCAATCTTAAAACACTAGGATTTTCATTATCTTAATTATATATTGAAAATAGCAGGAATAACTGATGATAAATATTTTAAAAAATGCACTCAGGCATTTAATCAATTTAAACTTACAAGTCTTAGTTAAAAATATCGGTTTAATTTACTACCTGGTACATTCTTCATTGTTTTAACACACAAATAATGTATTAAACCAAAGGAACTATTTCAAACACAATTTACTCATTGATAACCAAGCAACAAGGCAAATGATCCATGTAGCTGCAAAATGTAAAGGGGATCAGAATTTATATGAAGTAATATATCAAGAAAACTGTTAAGCTTTTAAGAAACAATTTTGAATTTTTCTTATAATTTGGGGAGAACAGAAGACAAATGATCATCTAGGCAACGATAGTTTCCTAAACTGGGGTTAATATGCTAGAAGGGGAATAACAGAGTCCTAATTACTTTAACATTTGAAAAGTTAGTTGTCATATCAATATTTTAAGAGCTTCAGTTTGTATTTGCAAACGCATTTTCGCAAACCGTTCCTATACAAGCTGATATTTATCATTATTTCTGATCAACAGAGTTCATCAAGCCCGCGTAACAATTCATTTTAGAATGTAACAAGTACTGGTCCATATAAATCACTTTTCGGATCAATTCTTACACAAACTATTTTGTTTATAATCAGAAACCAATAAGTAGTATGAAAAAGTCAAACTTCCTTCAACTGTAGTTATTTTTGAGTCCCAAACATCCAGTCTGACTACTAACTTTCGTTTCATTAGGCTTAAATATTTAGCTAGTAATTATATTAGTTTTCTGGGTGTAGTAATGAATGATGCTAGTATTAAAATTTAATGCGTCCTGATGAAAATAAAGGTTCAGATATCTTGATACATGATTGTTTTACTGAAGAGGATTTTTGGCTAAAGCTGACATCTTTTAAACCGCATACTACTACGGAGACCGTAAAATTTCGCATTTATATCAAATAAAGAACTAAAGTTATTGTTGAATATCCCATTTATAATGCTTAGAAAGAGTGGAATTTCTCTTACTACCAAACCCGGAAAACGGATCAGAAATTATTACATTGAATAGAAGCGTTAAATGCACTGTTTGTGGTGAGTCTTTTTCAATCCTAATATAATCCTAATAAGTAGTATAATGCATTATGTTTGACATTGTTATTTCCTCAAACAACTAAAACAAGTGTAATCAGACTGTCTGATCACTGAAAGTTTATTATGAATAAGCCGTACGTAACTGGATGATCGAATGCTTAATAGTACTAACAAATAGATCCAGTCTTTGGAGAAAAAATGTGACTTCATCAAAAGACAATCTTTGCCTGGTTTAAATGTGTCTAAAAATAGGGTTACTTATGAAGTCCCAGCACAATCACAAACTTAATAAACACGCATCAAACCATAGATCTGTTCATACAAGTGTTATTTAAACAGAGTTTAGGGGAAATCACATCTAAGCAGAAAGTCATTTGTTACTCTCTAAGAACTTTATTCCACGTAGCAAAGAGAAAAACATGGTAAGTAAACCGAACGGTTAGTTAAAGAAGCTAAGACGTTTTAATAAACTCAGATGATCCAGATTAAGGAGCAAATGTAGGCAAAAGAACAAAATAAATATGTGCTTTGACATATACTTCATGGAATATAGCAGTGAAAGCAGTGGGTCATGGACATGATTGATCTTTAACATTTACAACAGTTTAAATTAAAGCGTTAACAGATGTTGTCATGAACATTTTCATGGAAATGATATGTACTCCCTACAGATTTTATGCGTCATTAACATCTACAGCTGCAGGAAATTTATAATTAAAATACACATCTCAGAAAAAGAAAGACGTTCAGCAATACTTCTATCTCATCAAAATATAATTTGCAACTTCATTTATATATACATTTTGTGGTTTGTTTGTCATTCTCGGGCGATTATTATAATGCTGCGTTTTACAACCAAATTTGATTTGCTTTCTTCCCTATACTAACAAATGGAACAGTTTATCTTTAACGCCAAAATGTTTTCCGGAATATTTTTAGCCATAGTATTTTTAATAGGGTAAATTAATAAAATTATGATGCAACAATTCTTATTAAGTTGAATGTCAAGGTAAACACATAAATCCTTAAGAACCTCGTTGAAATAATGAAAAAGTTGATAATTATTAAGGAAGTTAACTACAGATAACTTACATGATAAGATAGTCTATCAATAGTGATTGAACTACTTAATATCGATCAGTGAGTAAAGCTGGTTGAAAATAAATATTTCTTCGCTTCATTATACTTCACGTAAATGTTAGCTGTATCCAGTTTTTAAATTTTTAAACACATCCAATAGATATCAAATTCGCTGTTTGCATTTTTAAAATAAAATAAAAATCATATACTTGTAAGCTTTTAAAGAGTTGATTGAGTCAAGTAATAAAAGTGTTATTGACAAGAAAGAGAACTGTTCGTTGAGCACACCCTTTACGTTTTAACGCTGATAAACCCAATATAAGAAGCGTGATATGTACTGATGCTGCAAAAGTATTCTGTTTCTAAATTAGTTCAAAAAACGTTATTGTCAGTTCTTACAGAAACTGATGTTAGATGCATAACGCTAGGATACAAACAAATTAAGCTAAGTATTCCTATGTGTAACAGACTAGGTTTACGCTACTTTTTAATTAGGTAACAATGTATAATCAAATAAATATCATGCTTTATTACAGATAAACTAATTTCCAAACTTAAATTCGGAAGAAGATGCTTCATTTCTGGTGTTCCTCATCTAAAAAAAGCTGATCGTTCATACCAATGGGAGTTCAAGGTATAATTGATTACATCGAATTCAAATTCCTGATTTTTTCTCAGGTTTATGGGATTGAAGATTCATTCATTAGTTCTATGGACCCCTGGAAATGCGTTCTCACTACGGTTGTAGAAAATTTACCTAACTGTAAGAATATATAAGAACTTCATTACTTATTCCTAATTACTTCTATTGAAGTGTTAAGGTTTTTTCTTGAATGACAAAGTATCAGGTATTGTTGACGAGCATTTACGTTGAAAAATTGACTGAAATTTATATTGCTAAAATAAGGCCATTTGTTGATGCAATAAAAAATAAAGCTTTTCTGCATATGGATTAATCACGTTACCGTTTTGAGAAACAGAGTTGATGAGTTGAACTATCAGTTATAGTAGTGTGACCAAAAAAGAAACTATAGTAAACAGACTATAAGTTGATATAAATATTTCTAGAAAGAGAGAATGATCGTTGAGAAGCAAACAAGAGTTAAGTTAGCCAGTTATCCAATTTTTAGCGATACGTCTTTTTACATTTTCTACCTGTAAAAGTCGTTATTCAGACGACAGAAACATTCAAATACAAACTGAAAGAATTCGCCCTTTCAACGCTTTCACAATGCAAAAAGAAACTACAGTATATTACATCTGTATTTGATTCTTATATATATTAGAGGTCATTGTAAGCTAACATATCTGTCGCGTCGTAAACTGGGTAACGTAATTTGTCGATTCTTGCTAGTCTTATATAACCACTTGTTATTCTGCACATTTACGACATGAAACAACCATAGACTAGTAGTCGTATCATGTGGATTACGTTGATTGATAATATAGAGTAATTAGTTCTCCTTAGCCATGATCAACCAGGTATCAAAAGACCAAAGCTTTCTAAAATATCACTTCTACATAAAGGATCTCTTGGCTAGTCATCATTGTTTTGTAACTTAGTGTGAAGTCTTATAAAACATCTTCAAGTAACACTTTAAAATCATAACTAATGAAAACGTCAGACACAACAAGTGTTTAGGAATATTTACTAAATCAAACTTGATGTAGCTTCCCTGAAATCAATGTTCGTGATATAATATTTTATCTATGCAATGATAATGTATTTAATGGTTTAAATGGAGTGTGTACTTTGATAGTGAATTAAAATTGTATGGCTGATTCTCATACCCTCAAAAATTGTTCTTAATATTAACTCCATCATTCTAGATATCCGTGCATATGAATTTGGCATCGCATTCACGTTCGCATTCATGTTCTTAGGTAAAATATCTTTACAGTTAATTTGATATTCACTATTATACAGATAATGTTACGAAACCCGGCACTTTTTTCCTGTTAAAGTGGCTTCTACTCTTACTTCTAGTTCAAAATGAATTCACAGAACCTGTGAGTTAAACAATTCATTAATTTGGGTTTATTTTGAGTAACTCGAAAAAATTATTTAAAAACATTTGTTTTCATTCGTAAACTTGATACTATGTACAAAGCAGTATTTAAAAAATCATATACTATGTGACAGAACACTATGAAATACAGTTCTACAACTATTTAATTTATCACTCAAAATGACATAGTTCAAAGATTACTGGTGAAAATTCCACCAAAGTTTAATCTCACATGTTGACCTTTAAGGGCTATCAGAAGTAAATTAAAATTTGTATCGATCTTCCACGAATGTGTTTATCTGGGGCAACCATTTTTCATCAACTTTAACAGAAAAAATCTGACACTCATGTCATCAGTTGTAACATACGAAAAGTAGTGTGCATCGTATGTGTATTCAGATAACATTAGTGCTATATAACTCGTGCTGTTACTGGATAATGCTTTCGTGTAAGTGTAGGAATAGTCTACGATTCAGCTACAGTCAGTATTTGAAGTGGTTTTCACTCAAAAATGTTTTCTATCACTTTACCGGCTACAACTATTTGTTTGTCCATCATGTATTGGATTAATAAGTACAAATATATTCTCCCCTTTTTTATTTAAAGGACAGGCTAGAAGACGAAAATTTCAATAACTGTAATATTTCCATTTTTCAGGGTTTAGAATCTCAATAGGTTGCAAACTCTATATATAAGCGAGTAGAAACATGAGGTAACTACTCATAATTGTTCAGTTCAAACATATTCTAAACTGAAGATTTACTGTAATATTCACACAAACGAAAATAGGGGCACAAACTTCTGAGTAGGCCGCTAGCTTATAATCAAACAACTAGTTTACAAGTTCCCCTCAATATTTACCAGTACACAAGTCATTTTCAACAGAAAATTCATTACAATCAGATTAGAGTGGTTTTTCTCGTCCAGACAAAAAGAAAACAAGGTAGCTCCTATGAAAATTAACCTAAGCGTCTAACAACAGATAAAAAAGGATGTGGAAACAACAAAGTCTATACATGGGATTAAACTAATTAGGAAATCAGTTGATACAAACCATAGCATTCTGTGCTGATAAAAACTAATTTACCGGCTGTTAGTCGTTAAGAGACAGTTCTTAATTTACGAGCCCTTGATGTAATGTTTCCGTTTTTATTGTTAAATTATTTCTTATGCACTACTAGTTATTATGGTCAGCGCAGAAAGTTTACTCGTCTCACAATCACGATTCGGAGCGACTGAAATCAGCTTCATTGTAGCAAACTCTCAAGTTTGTCGAAGCATTTATTTCCGATTTACTTGAAAGTTGAATGATTCTAGAAACTTTAAAAATCATTGGACTTCTAATTTTAATTAACCGCTTATGAACAACTCATTTTTGATAAACATACCATCTTCATGAAAACAAATCTACACCATCCATTTTTAGTTTAGACGATGCGTTTTAAACGGGATGTCTCAAAGATAGTTTTAACTTTGTTAATAAAACTGACTGCATCAACCTAAGCAGAAATTGAACGACTTTTTTGTATGTTCCATTAAAAGAGATTATTGATATCATGTTCAGTCGCGCCTACAAGATCGATTTTCCTAACAGATTAAAAGTATCATTACTATTATACATAAGAAATGTACAGTTTCAATTTTACGTAAGGTATTTTCGATAAATAGATGTTGCTATGGTTAGCATAGGACGATAGTATTTTTCTTGCACAGCTCGAAAGCAACAAACTAAAGAACATGATGAAACTAATACTATCATTTTGAGATATGTTGTTGGCACATGGATCATACATAATAATCGAAACCACGCCGATCACTTACTTAAGTGTTTCGATTTGATTCATTCAAGTCCAAAGTCAACATGTGAGCATGAAATACAAAATAAAATGAATTTCTTAAACTTAACGATAATAAGGGACGACAAGTGTTTGATCTTACGTTCTACTTACTGTAAGACAGCTTTTGTCCAGTCACATATAAGGGAAGTCTTGAGACAGAGTTCTTGAGGATAACGAGGCTATGTCCCAAAGACTCTCGAATACAAGGTAGAAATTACTAAGAGGACAATAATTGAGAATGGAAGTAACATAAAGTACATGGGGGCTATGAATCAATAAAATGGATACTGAAACAAAGCAATGTCCTCAAAAAGTCTACATTTGTCAAACTTTCATTTAAAGGGTTAGTCTTAGTGTGTAGAGTTCGCATCGACAAACGACCCAAAGTGCAGTGATCTCTCCGGCTGCCTACTTAATAGCTAAATAAGAGCAAGAACGATTACTCAATTAGTTTAACTAAAATAACATATTCTGATTGTTTGCTGCTGTGAGTCATATGTGGAGAAATGCGAATACTTCACTGCCCCCTGAAATTTGTGCTGACGATCCTCTACGACCAGACCATCCAGCTCAGAGAGAGAAACCCCACCAGAACCATCTACCTGAGCTACAGATCTCCGCCACCCTCTCAATAAGTAGAATGATGGGAGACCTCTACCGTTATTCATAGACTCAAGACCAAACTGTGAGCGCATAAACAACATGTACTTCACCCGGCAATATCGTGGTTATCGAATTAATAATACCTCTCTCTTTCTCTTCTCGTTTGAATAATAGTTAAAGATTTGATTTGGTTGTTTGATATTATCTTTATTTAATCCGATTTACTGTTGTATGGTTTATTTTAGTCAATGTTTCATCCCTAATTTGTGATCATTGTAAGCAGTTTATTATTTTAAAATTATTCGGTAAAATGTTTCTTCCATCATGAACTTAGAAATACAACTATTTCAGTTTTCTCATATTCCATCTAAAAATCATTATTATTACCACCACTCTTGTTATGATTACTTTAATATTGGTTTTCGGCAGTAACTATCACTTTAATCGTTTTATCTTCCTGAATTTTTAACTCAGGATGAAAAACTTTTATTTTCGCAAGTCTCGTGTAGACCTCCAGCTCTACTTTTAGTGGGACCCCTAGGCGACAACTTATCAAATAACCTACTGAGAGCAGCAGGACAATTTTCAAAACCATTTTGTGAGCACAAACCTGGGAGTAGTATACCTCCGACATCTTTGGAAGTGGACTTCAGTGGATCTAAGAAACCAAATGTAAAATGCCTTTGGAAAACTACGAAGAAACAGAATACCTTACAAACGAAGTCTATAGAGCTGGATAAATTGTGTACAAATGAAGAACAAACAGTTATGTGTAGGTTTTGAGTTTGAATTTAGATATACTGGATGATTGTGATCCAACTTTCAGTTGAACCTCAAGATACTACATCTAATTGGTATCCAGTACTTATCTGTTTACGGAAACCAAGTGGTAAAAGATCAGTAACTAAACATTTGTAAAATTTATTTTTCAACGAAGAAGACTCGTAACTGTTTTAATATACGTTTCCACAAGCATTCAGAGTTTGGTGATTTTAACACCAGGAGTTTTCCTGATATATGTTTTGAGAGAACTGGAGATTTTGCGTTATGAGCGATGAAGATATAAAGTTATCATCAACTGTCCTACTAAATGTTTTCATTTTACAGACTACCGTTTTAAGAAATAACAAACCAGATAGACGATTTTGATAGCTATGTAAATTTAGAGCTAAACTTTTAAAGCCAAGTCATTATTCATGGTTTTGTAAATTTTACAAAGTTAGACCAGTAATTTATGTAACAGCCCTCTGTTAGCGGTACATAGATTGGATTAAAGCATGTTCCATGCACGATTGTGCTGGTGCACATTGATTATCTAATTCTTATCCAATCAGAACTAGTCGATACTTCGAGAGGACTCGAGGATCTTCTCATGTAAAAACTATAAATATACTAACGTTTTTCTTACTGTGATTCTTACTTCCATGTACCCTTGTTATCTGGAATATAATTCGGTTCCTGTTCAACCATGTTCTGATTTGGGGACTAGTCGAGTGAATTGGTGTCCAGGATTACTAAGCAATAGGAATAGCTGGGTCGTTATATGGGAAAATTAAAGCACCTTCCAAATTCTAGACTCAATGGAGAACTGCTGCATTAAGCAATACAAATCCTATGAAACTTCCAACTTAGATACTCTCTGCTTCTTTGTAATCTACCAACTAGGTGGAACTATAGAACTGGCTTCTGGAGGAATAGCTTATTTCCCAAATTTGGAATTTTATAAGAAAAAGGAACTAACTAGTCTCGTTTACGGTAAGTTGATGATAACATAATATTTCCTGAAAAAAAACCAAGTTTGTAATAAAGATTACTGCTTGTTTTCCAGACCGGTTATACTGATGTCATCATGAAGTTGTTTAGATTGCTTTCAGTAAGCAAATAAATACATGACCTAAAATCGATAAATTTAGAATATATACGCATGTCGATAAAATGCTTTAAGTGGTGTCTAGCCGACCAGATATTAAAAACCCGTACATTCTTATATCATGTTGTAACCGTTAAAAGTAAAAGTAAATTTTAAAATAATCTAACTTTATGGTCGCTTCAAGGCAGTTTATCAGATATAAATATATGAATACAAACCAAAGATCGTCAAGAACATTTTAAGTAACAAAATACCTCGAATTTCCTATTACAAATTTGCAAATATAATTTAGCTAAGGAATTTCTTTATCCTTCTGAAATTCTATGTGGGTTATTTGTGCAATATTTGTGCTATTAACTGAACTTTTGAGTTCTCGAGGCGATAATGATGAAAAAACTTCAAAAAAAAACTGAAGATTTATATTTTGCTTTACATATGCAGTTTATGGTTATATGTAGACTAAGATCTTATCATTACTTTCGTTATTGTCATATGATCAAAGCCGAGTAAATCATATGAAATACTACCACATTCTAACTCATGATATTTTCGTATGAAGTTACTTTTTCAAATGTTTTCTATTTTGCTTCATCATTTTCAATCTAGCTTTAGAGAACATGACCGTGGGTGACTCATATTCACGTTGTGGGGTTGATTTGACATCTGTTCATAAGGTCAGCGAAGAGCTATTTTACCCTAATGAAACCACTATTTGGGCTACTGTTGAAGTTAATCCACTGCGAAGAAAAAAAGTCGAAGATCCTATTGTTAAAATTTCACAAAATTATTTATCTGACACAGATATTTTTATTGAAACGATGGTAAAAACTAACGAGAAGTGTACCAATTTACTGCTCAATGGAAATTTGAAAAGAGTTATACAGTGAGTAATTACCAAAAAGGTTTACTTTTAAACAGTGAAAAAGTTAACACCATAGAAACACATGTAGATTGGGTGTTTCGACTGAAACGAACTGCTCCCAACTATTTTAAATAATAAGCTATCAAAGGAAGAATTTACTACATTCCGCTAAAAGTTTCTGTTCAAGAAATTAAAAAATCTCTACTTTTAAGTTTAACAAATAATCCATCTGATCAAGAATAAACGTCACAAAATATTGTGGTAAATAGAAGTATTTGAATTATTGTACGAACTAGTAATCCGCGAAATATCGTAATTTAGACCAAGAAGAACTAGGTGAGTACAAACGAACGTATTGTATTTTGAATTCGAAATCAGGCCGTCATCGAATACAAAAGAATCAGTGGTTGATACAAATACCACAGATATTTAACCCGAATTAAACTGATAGTAGAGAATAAGATGATTATGATTAAGCTATATTTATTGAAAAAATCCATGTTCCTTATTCCTCTTAAGAACTGACTAGTAAATCAGAACTAGAATAAACTTTTTCTCCATGTTTAAATTCTACAGAAAATTTATGTTTGCCACTAAGTATTCGTATAGATTAAGTCCGTATTTAATTTCAGTAGCAATTATCGCCATGATAATTTGTGAATATATAGTTAAAAGACTCAACATTTTTTAAAAAAAACTGACGCAGAAGAAATCAAAATTTATCTGGGGGGTAAATATTTGACTAGGATCAAATAAGCAGTGTACAAAATTAGGAGGTTTACGGGTAGATATATATTATTTTTAAAATAATGAAACATATTCCTACTTTAACACATCTTTCCAGCTGGATCCCTTAGTTTTCAGGACTTGCTGGTGAGAATCGACTTTTTGCTTAATGATGGGTGGAACTAACGTATACTGTTTCCGAAAGGCCTGTAACAGAATCATAGAAGCTCTATTAGGGTCTTTTGTTAACCAAGTAATAATCTTATGAAATTTTGGCGGCCGACAAGACCTGTGTTTAGAGGGTGCTGTCTCCGAAGTGGTCCAACAAAGAATTACTGCAGAGTAAAACCGGCTATGCAAAAAACTGTAGACTGTTGGATAAGATTATTTCGAAACCAGATACTTACTTACGACTGTTACCACTCATGGAGAAGAACAGGCAACTCATCAGCACTATTCATCCAACTCTGACCTTGGCAAAGCTTTCCAGTTATTTCCGGTTGCTATTCATCCTTTTCATATCTGCTCCCAATCCCGACGCAGTGTATTCTTTGGCCTTCCTGTCCTCCACTTCCCTTTAGGATTCCGAGTTGGGGCTTGCCTCGTGATGCAGTTTGACGATTTGCGTAATGTATGTCCTATCCAATCCCAGCGTCTTTTTCTAAATTCCTCCTCAGCTGGAACTTGGTTTGTCCTCTCCCACAGTAGGCTGCTGCTGATGGTATCCGGCCAACGGATATTAAGTCTCTTGCGTAGACAACTGTTTATAAACACTTACACCTTCTTGGTAACAATTGTGGTAGTTCTCGAAGTTTCAGCTCCGTACATTAGAACTTTCTTGATGTTCGTATTGAAGATTTTGATATTGGTTGACAGTTGTTTCGGGTTCCATATGTTCTTCCACTGTAGGAATACTGTCCTTACTTTGCCAATCCCTGCCTTTACATCTGCATCAGATACTCCACGTTTATCGATGGCGCTTCTGGTGTACGTGAAAGATGCCACATCTTCCAATCAAGTGTGATTGGGTTGGTGTTCTCTGTGTTGTATTTGAGAATCTTGCTTTTTCCGTTGTGTACACTGATGCAGAAACTGCTGCTACACTACTTGTCTTCATCTGCATTTGTTATTGTGTATGGAATAGAAGGGCCAGATTATCTGCGAAATCCAAATCTTCTAATTGATTCCAATCTGTCCATTGTATTCCGTGTTCCCTCTCAGACGACCAGGTCTTCATAATCCAGTCAACCACCAGAAGAAACAGAAAGGGAGGGAGTAAGCAGTCTTGTCTGACTCTGGTCTTCACTTGGAATGCATCTGTCAGCTGTCTTCCATGGACTAATTTGCACTATAGTCTGTCGTATGAATTCCGGATCATGTTGACAATCTTCTCATGAACTCCATAGTGTCGAAAACGTTTTCATTATGTTCTCCTGTCCACCCTGTCAAACGCCTTCTTATAATCAATGAAGTTGACGTAAAGTGACGGATTCCATTCGATTGATTGTTCAACGATGATCAGTAGTGTTGCGATTCGGTTTCTGCACGACTGATCCTTTACGGAATCCAGCCTGTCGATCTCGAAGTTGGGTGTCTACTGAGTCTTTCATTTGGTTCAGCAACACCCTGTTACAAACCTTTCCTGGTACTGACAGTTGTGTGATGCCTCTGTAGTTCTCACAGTTGCTCAAATCTCGTTTCTTTGACATTTTGGTGAGGTGTCCTTCTTTCCAGTCCATCGACACTTGTTCTTCCTCCCAAATCTTTTTGAATAGGTGAAGCATGTTTGCAGTTACTTCAATGTCTGACTTCAGTGCTCCAGCTGGCATGTTGTCTCATCCTGCCGCTTTTTAATTCTTTATTTGCCTGATGGTCGTCCTGATTTCGCCGATCATTGATGAATTCAAAGCCGTAGGAACATGTGTGTGTGCTGCTTCGATGTCCGGTGGATTCAGTGGAGCCAGCCTATTCAAGAGTTCCACAAAGTGTTCCGCCCACCTTTTCCTCTGTTCTTGAATCTCAGTGATTGTATCGCCTTCTTTATCCCTGACTGGTCTTTCTGGTTTACCATATCTCCCTACTAGTTTCTTCGTTGTGTCATGTGGTTGTTTTGTAGAGGTTAATTTTATCTATATCTGGCCCCAATAAATAGTATCCCGTTAACTGAGTATTTAACACAGGCTAAATCTCCTAGTGGAATTATGGATTTACTTGAGATCATTCAAAAGCACGAACAACAGTTATAGAGATAGTTTATTGTTACAGATTAGTAAAATCTGCAGCCGTGCATATGGCAAGCCCGCAGGGAAGCGAGTGAGCGTGTATGTGAATGTTACAAATCCGTATGTATTTATGAGTGTTAATCGACTGTTGATAAATGATTGATTGTCTTTGTTTACAACCAATGAGAGAATGGATTAAAGATTGATGTGCAGACGTGTACTCAATCAGACTCACACATAATTTTACGTGGTGGGTTAAGTCTCTAAATTACAGCGAGTAAACAAATAATGGAGTAGCTGCCTGGGGTTACCACAGTTTCATATTTCCTTCTCTTTCCGCTCTTCTACGTAATCTCACTTGTCGGCTCTAATGCTCCTCTTCACTCGCTTGTTTGCTTCAGTGTATTCATCTTGTGCCTTGAATTTCTCTGCTCTTGTTCGACTGTTGTTGATTGTTGTCTTTTCGTTCTTCTTTCTTAAATATTGTTCGAGTTTTCCATAGAGGTTTATTTCTTATGATGATGCTTCTTACCCGATGGTCTGGTGAGGATTTTTGACCGAAGGCCTTCAGCCAAGGTGTGTTCAGTAAAGCCAATATGATCGGCACCCAAACCTAAGACTTAAAGAACTACTTATTTTGTAGACTTATTTACCGCCACATACTTCTCAAGTAAATGTAAAAGCATAGTTACCACCTCTGATAACCTTTCTTATCCTTGTCATTTTAATTCAGACTGTTAACTAGCGGGTGAAAGGCTTGCACAGAACTAAATCATTAATATTGTTGTACGTCTGGAGTTCTAGTAATGAAGGCAATATGATGGTATATAACTTATTTATATTTAGTTATATTTTAAGCAATATCTTATCAAGTTAGTAAGTCAATCCAGTGTTTAACAGACGATCATATAAAAAATATACGTATTTATATGAATAATAAACTTGTACTGTGAACTCTAACACTTTTCATGGGAGTTACTACACCCTTACCACTCTGTAAAGTCATCTTTCATTTGTATTTCTAAGTGAGAAAGTACATTAAGATGGAGTCTCTGATTTTATATATATATTCTGTTTAAGAATACTTTTAAGGTTATTGATCTGACGCAATCGGTTTTAGCGCTTTCGATATAGTTGTCAATACTCAAGAGGCTTCCGGCCCAATCAAGCTCATGGATGGATCAATAGCGGACTTCTGTTTATCAGCAACATGCAATTTGGAAACCGTAAAATCTTCAGGGAAGTCTTCACTCCCAAATATGAAAATTTACTCAAGTGTATGTTTCATCATAACTGTCCTTTGTTAATAAGTCGTCGCAGTTAAATAAGGTTTGACTTTAACTTCTGGTGTGATATAACCTAAAACCCAACAAATATTTTTTTTATTATCGCCAAAAGTTTACAGATGATTACAGTAGTAACTAGATCCTAAATCTATGACCTGACATTTAATAAAGAGCATGGAAATCATTTCTTGTAAATCATTTTTTACGGAAATTCAAGAGAGTGATTTTTTGTCGATTTTCGCAGTACGGTAAAATAAGACCAATGAATAACTATTTCAATCCCGTTCATGACTCCGCCTAAGTGTGCACCTCACAGAAGATCAAAGAAAGTAAACACTGAGACCAAACGTTTCGGACTCATTAGTTCACATTAATAACTTCGGTCATTTGATGTTGAAACGTAATTGTCATCCAGGATATCGCTGGTATCCGCCTCAGTACTAACATGGTTCAATCCCACAGGTTACCAGCACTCATCAGAATTTTGTGAAGTTTTTTCAAAGCTAGTTTCTACTGGCGACATTATTATTATTATTAAATTAGTAAGCTAGTATAAATTGTTCAATTTTAAGTACGTTTTCATAATAAAATGATGCAATTCAAGGAGTCCTAAACTAAGGCAACAAAGCTACCCCGTGTTTTGATGGGTTTCGTTATAATTAACTCTCATGAGTTTTTAGCGTTTACTACTAAATCAGACTGTCGCAAATAATCTAGCTACAACGGTGACGCATTTACTTGAAACATTATGAACAATAAAATCAGAAACCACTAGACAGTCTTAGCAAAACAACGTGCTTGTGAAATTACATTTCAGTGCTTAAAAATTGAATAAACCAACAAATCAAAGACGACTGAAATCAATCCACTGGTCATCTAAACTGTAAACGGACCATAAAGAAGATCTGAGTAGTTAATCAGCATCCTGTAGTTCTTACTGATTCTGTGTGTGATATCAGTCGATAGTAAAAACTGATATCATAGTTATCTTTTGTCAAAAATCTGAATTTACGGACAACTTTTCGAACAAACCTTTTCGGAGACGTAACAAAAGCCTCTACATTTCAGTTTTTCCACAAATTATTGTGTGAATGTCAGTGCAAACAAATATTCTCACATAATTAGTCACTGTTAACTGGTGAATCTAATGAAATATTGATAATTCAAGCTTTGACAAAAGTATAAAGATTGTGAAGTAGTCGTACAGTACAGCTAAACTTAAGTTTTCTTCTTTTGATGGACAGCTTCTAGATACATGCAAGAACGCACCTACAGTGAAAATGGAAGAAAATGCTAGTAAATTACTGCAAGTTTACTACTTGGCAATGAGGCGTTCATCCGTTCGAGATCGAAAAACAGCTCCAGCGTCAGCATTGCCCACATTGTGAGTTTCATTTATACGGTTATCCGAAATCCATGAAGCGATTAATGTTTTTCAGCCTAGCTGGATTTGTAAGTTTATAAAGTTTGATTGTAGTTATCAGACAGTGGTTTAAAACAATAGAATGTTACGAACCAATCTTGAAGATAAGGGAACTAAATTGGTGCTTTGACCACTACATGCCATAAGATGACAAAGAATTTCCATATTGTGGTTAAAAAGTAGTGTTCAATAGGACGAGATCGCGAAGACTTACCAGACGCTCTGAAAGTAAGACGTTAAAAAAGCTTCATTTCAAAGAATTTATTACCAGTCTATTTGTTTAGACAAATATATGTGTTCGTGAAAAAATATAAACAACTGATAAACATGACAATTTAATAATAGGTTATATCATGTAAATAATAACAACCAGTGTTGTGCGAGATCCTCATATATTTGTTTGAAAAGATCTATAAAACTACCCATCTGTTGAAATGTAGTTGGCGTCGGATAATTAAAATGGTTTTCAGAAGAGTAATATTGAAGAACTCAGTGAGACAAAAATAATTAGAAAACGGATAATCTCGGGAGGAAAAATATAACAAGTGCGAATCATAGATTTCGATTTTAGACAGAGTAAAGATATATTTATTCTGTACACAAGCACTAGACCTGATCTCATGAGTGACTAAAGTATTTGATATTTAAGAACATTGAAAACGAAGAGGTTTTGAGAGTGGACCAATTTGATAAACAGGTTTAAATTCATTAATGCGGGTTAATTGTACAAAGGTGGAATTTTCAGTGGTTTTCATCATCCATATACTCTACTGCGACGTATTACTTTCAGGTAATACTCTAGTTGTCAATTCAAATACTTTTATTTCCGTATCTTCTAATTTCAAATTTCCCTGCATACATTATGGTATCTACCTAGAGCGTCCTCAATAGAAAGTAGCAGGATACTTGTACCGTCGTTATAATAACTGAAACATATATATGCACAAAGTAGTTTCTACATAGATGAACACCAGTTTGAATGTATAAACAAACAGGACAATGTAGAGTTTTATACAAAAGTGTATCAGTTCAATTTAAAAATCCTTGAGTATTCTGATAAAAATCTAAATAGGCGACAACTATACAAGGAACGAACAATTAGGCATTAAGATGTTAAATAGTCGTGCCTAAACAAAGATTAAATAAAGCTTCATCATTGTGATTCATATAAAAAATCTAGAACCCTAAACCATTACAACAAACGCCTAACACGGTTCAGATTGGTATTCAATGACCGATTTCACTCTTTAGTTCAACTATGTTCAGTCGTTTGCCTTTAAGCGTCATTTTAGAGAGTTAGTTTTCTACGGGATGGGGTCGCTAACCCCATGCCCAACCCTCCTCCTTTATTCGGGCTTAGAACCGGCAGCAGCCTCAGTCGTTTGCCCTAACTACTAATTTATCCTTCTATCGTTAATTCATTTCTCATCAAAAACACTTATCAGCATTTCAGTCAACAGGGGAATTTGTTACAATAAAGTCAGTTGTAAATTATGGATTATCATGAAGATAAAATCGATAGACGTTAGTTTAGCCATTTCAATCTTACACAGAAATTGTCCAGACTTTCCTACGGTTTAACATCATGGAAATATACTTATTATGGTGACAAATTTGTTTTCATTTTAGATTTAAATTGGCCAAAAGTAATGCTAAGATTAACGGACGCATTGTTGCAAACGAACTTGATGCTACTGTTTCAATTTATATCTACGACACTTTTATTCCAAATCAGACAGGTAGGTTGGCCTTTTAGTTAATTTCACATATCAACAACAGTAAGCGTAAGTAGACCATAAATGTTAGGACTCTGATAAGGCTTTTGTTTCTTTAGAAATAATTCAGTTAGGATAGAATTTTTAGAACTAAAAATCGTGTGGATTTCTCTCACTTTATTGTTTTGAAGAGCCGAAGGGGCTTTGTGCGCTACAAATTGTGGTGGTAATCGTGAGCAAGTGATAAGAAACGATAGTTTATAAACTTTTTGTTCATACCATTTACAGCTAAACCTAGCCAACAGTTGAACTCACAAAAATAATATGAATTAGCACAAACTTAATTCAAAGCCTATTTCATAATAAATTAACAAACAGATGTCACGGGTAAATGTTGAAATTTCTTTTCTGCGTCAAAGACTAATTTACCCCATCTGGGTTAAATAAATCATCTAAAAATAAGTCCTTCCGCGAAGTTAATCTAATTCATCTGTTTCTTATTGCCAGATAAGTGGTAACGGTTTCAAGATCTTTGTATTTATGCTTTCAATAATTTCCTTGTGCTAGATAACAGGTTTTACTAAAATTTAGATGCTATTTTTATCGGAATTTGTGTTAAATATTTGAATTAGCATCATTCAAGAAAAATGAACAGATGCATTTAGAATTGAATAAGATTTTTACAGGTAGTTACGTTTCGAATTTTAACACCATATCTTCAATTAATATCAACATGGTCCTTTTGTATTCTTAAAAATAGCGGTTCTCTTAAGGCTAACTACTACTTCAACTTGTTTTAACTATATTTTCCCAGTTATTAAACCTTTTTCATTGAAAGGAAAATGAAGCCTAATGGTAAGTTCAAATCAAAACGACAACTCAACATGGCGGAAGAAATGTTTAATAGCCCACATACTGAGTACAGGATATGAAAATACTTAATAGTTAGAATTTTAAAAAAGACATATTGTACAAATAAACTAGTTGGTTCACGCACCATAGCATTTCATGACTGTACGTCATTTACAAATCATTAAAATCTGAATTATTGTTGTACATTACACATAGGATAACCGTAAACTTCACAACACTAAAAGTATAGAAACTTTATTACGTAAAACAGAGACTACAAGCTACTGTCATGACGCCGAGACAAACATTTGAAGAAATATTTTCGATAAAAATGTCTTAAGTGGAATGTCTGCCTTATTCATTTCCAGAATTTAAAACATGTTTTAACTAGGTATTTTCAGACAACAGGTAATCTACAAGTGTCATTCTAAAAACTCTAGGTACAGATTACCTTGGGTCAAAATCATTTCACTATATCGCTGGAATGGAACAAGAGTCATTGGAAGAACTGAATAACATATTGGAATCAATAAACAAGCAGCTGAAGGACTTAATCAATGTTGCCATGGATGAAATGTAACCAACATTATTGTCTGTTGCGGTACACGTTTTGCTAAAAAGTAAATTAATTCAAAACAGAATATTCTGATATGTTTTATAAGATTCCGTTTGTGAGACAACTATATTAGGTCCTCATCAATTTGAAAAGCTATCGTAGACATGTACATAGCACGACAAGAGAACTACGAAGTTAATACCTAAAATTATTGGCTCCAATCGATCTTTTGCTGATCATAATTACGATATTTAATGACCAAAATAGACTCAAAACTAAAACCAAATATTAAAAACCAGAAAGTACTTTAAAAGGTTAGGACTAATCAGTTAGTGACATAGTAGCGGAATAGTATAAATCCTTGTTGAACAAAATTAAACAAATGATAGGCCTCATGTAGGATGGCATGAAATATATCTTAACAACTGAAAACTTGCTAAAGAATATGATTTTAAACTTCTCCTAAAGTGTAAAGAAATGGTTTGCTAAGTTATGAAACCCATCAGATCTCATAAATTGATTGCAGCGTACGTTGTTTATAAAATACTTATAATCATCAAATATTGCAAGTTTGTGTTTTACATGAAAGCGAAAGTAAAATCTGAGTTACACGATAAATCTTTTGACCCATCGGTCGAAGTGGTGGAATGACAGCACTCTTATCAAAAATGTCTCATATTCACGAATTCCGATCTGATCGTCAAGAAATTGTGAAGTAATACTCTTACCATTACAATCTGATTTTGTACACGGTTTAGTGTAGTAGTGCATAGATGAACATCTAGTTATATTATCAATTAACTGTGACAACCTAGTTCAAAACAATTTACTTCCAACAACTAAATCATATATTTAAAACCGTTTCACTTGCTTATATTTAGATATGTCAATAACGTCATTAACCTTCACGTTTGATTCAAGGCCAACTAAAGGAATAAATAGTTGTATAGTGGCTAGCAGTGGAATCCAGGACGCGCGTTTCGTCTTGTTTGGGACTCGTCAGCTGAATGTGCCTGCATCTCAGAGTTGATGTTCACTCTGGGACTCGAACTCAGTACCGTTCGCTTCAAACGCCATCGCGTTATCCACTTAGCTACTGAGTCCTGATAGCCACTTGCTTGTGCAATGGGCATACGCACAGTATGCACATATGTCAATAAGAGACTGATCAATTTCAGTCCTAAAACATCAATGGGAAGATTCAAGTAAAACAATATCAAGTGAATAAATACTTGGTTAATAATATGAAATTTTATTAGATTAGAACAGATAGAAACTAACTTATCATGGAGAATTTCGAGCCTTAAAATTTTGAAACCAGTACTCATAATAGGTGGAAGTCATGAAGGTAATCATTGTTTATATACCTTTTAAATTTACTTGGCTAGTCAGTTAACTTAGTATGATTCCATTCCCCAGCTTCAGTTGACACTGCCTTAACTAAATTCGTTTATCTAACGGAACATTTTGCCAAACCTAGGGATCTATTTGGGTCATACTTCACTTTGTTTTATCATTTGGATTTATACTAGTTGCTTCATTCAATAATCTGTGTTTAGTACTGTTATGGTCTTCGATCGAATTCGGTTATAACAAATGATTTCTAACGTTTACCCAACTGGTTATAAAGTGGAATACACTTGTTCTTTAAGTCACTTCTGATTGCCATCGATTGACCCCCTCATTAGGCTACTTCTGGTCGGTTCATTATATCAACTGGTGTGGACGGTAACCTTGGCTAAGTGAATACCCCCAACAAAATCCACTAACCACATTTCCTTGAAATGGCATGTAATATGTTTTGCCTTGGATCAAAATAATATTTGTCTGGAATCCTCCCATCTATTATGTACATTAGGAAATTCTCAAAATAAAATACGCATCCAACTACCTCCTGTTTTACATTTTAAATTGTACAGAAACGATTGTTATTTTTTTAGCAAGATTTCAATTGACTGTCCACACAAATACAGTAAAATAATAAGGTACACTATGAATGCATCTTATTTCTTTATTTGAACACATAAACGTTGGTATAAGAACGCATCAAATACACATGCACCACACAATAACAATGAGGTAGTCAAGAGATAGAGAATGTAAATTACGTATGACAAAAAACAATAACAATGAACAGGAATTAGCGTATGAGAGTGAAATAATTATAGTGACAATAATAATCGCAATAATGATAGAAGTAGTTCAGTCAGGAAAAATGCATCCAGAAAGTGCTTTCAACTAAAGTTACGTTCACTTTCATAATGAAACTTACCGGCTTCTATTTTGAGTCATGTCACGCAACGTCTTTAGTCAATGTGTTGTACCATCTCGAGAAAAGTAAATGTTAGGTGCTTTGACCGGGTTTGTGGATAAAGAGGACCCACCTAGGAGAGTTGGAAAACCCTGAACACAAGTCAATGTTGTACATCGGTTCCAGGTATCTGAGAAAACAAACGGCGTATGAACCTATTAATGGTCACCGGATACCCATTCCTTACGTTGCTTCACTGCCTTGTGGACTAAACCATTAGGTCAAGTGCTTCGAGTGTGGCTTCTTAAAGAGATCACATGCTTCGGTCTATACACGCTGGCAGTTTCACAGCCCACACACAAATGAAATGACAATGACTACTGGAAATACAGTTATTGCTCCAATTAACATTTATTAAACCCGCATCCATTTGATAAAATTTATTACCATTACTACTTTATATAATGTGTCACTTATCTGCTTTCTTTTATTCCTACCTTATGTATCTTTATTTTTCAACTTATACATCAGCTCGCCCATGGTGGAAATTCGGTTCTATCTAAACGATCTCGAGTCACTACCCGGTTTAAAGTTGGATGCTACCACCGAATATGAGTACTGAAGCAGTTTTTCTGAAACCACGTGCACCATTCAAACTGGCTGTCTTCAACGTTCGCACACTTATGCAGGTCCGACGACAGATAGGGCTGACCATGTCTTTAGAAAGTCTTAATGTCGACGTTTGTTGTCTACTCGAGACCCGTACTGAAGACTCTAGTGAAGTAATACAAATTCGCTCTCCATCTGTCGCTTCAAAAAGCTTGTTTTACGTGCGATTATCCGGGGACCCTGTGACATCTTCGTCTGGTCTTGCTGGCGTTGGTGTCGCGCTAAGCGTTAGAGTTGAGACATCACTAATCGATTGGATCCCCATTAACAGTAAGTTGTGAGCTGTTAGATTAGGAAGTTCCATCAAAGTGAGAAATCGGCGTGAGAAACGATATCTCTTCGTCATCTCCGCCTATGCCTCGACAGATTGCAGCCCGGATGTGATCAAAGATGAGGATTCAAATGGTTATGAACGGAATAGAAAAAACTTTCACTTGGCGGGCCTCTATGTCTAGTTGCAGTGGATCACCAATACCTCCAGACAGGAACCTAGGTATATTGACAATAATAGAGGAAAACGGATGAGTTATGCCACCAGTTAACTGTTTTTCTACAGAAAGAAGGTTCGACAGATATCGCAGTACTAGTCGGAGACTTGATTGCACAGATCAGGCGTCTAGGCACAAAGGAAAATCGTTTGAGTGACCAATGGGAATTTGTTGGTCACGGGTCAGATAACGCGGGCTATGAATCACAAGCATTCGTCACCCAGCTCTTTCCTGGGCAATGCTTTCCAGTTATTTCCGGTTGCTATTCATCCTTTTCATGTCTGCTCCCAATCCCGACGCAGTGTATTCTTTGGCCTTCCTGTCCTCCACTTCCCTTTAGGATTCCGAGTTGGGGCTTGCCTCGTGATGCAGTTTGACGATTTGCGTAATGTATGTCCTATCCAATCCCAGCGTCTTTTTCTAAATTCCTCCTCAGCTGGAACTTGGTTTGTCCTCTCCCACAGTAGGCTGCTGCTGATGGTATCCGGCCAACGGATATTAAGTCTCTTGCGTAGACAACTGTTTATAAACACTTACACCTTCTTGGTAACAATTGTGGTAGTTCTCGAAGTTTCAGCTCCGTACATTAGAACTTTCTTGATGTTCGTATTGAAGATTTTGATATTGGTTGACAGTTGTTTCGGGTTCCATATGTTCTTCCACTGTAGGAATACTGTCCTTACTTTGCCAATCCCTGCCTTTACATCTGCATCAGATACTCCACGTTTATCGATGGCGCTTCTGGTGTACGTGAAAGATGCCACATCTTCCAATCAAGTGTGATTGGGTTGGTGTTCTCTGTGTTGTATTTGAGAATCTTGCTTTTTCCGTTGTGTACACTGATGCAGAAACTGCTGCTACACTACTTGTCTTCATCTGCATTTGTTATTGTGTATGGAATAGAAGGGCCAGATTATCTGCGAAATCCAAATCTTCTAATTGATTCCAATCTGTCCATTGTATTCCGTGTTCCCTCTCAGACGACCAGGTCTTCATAATCCAGTCAACCACCAGAAGAAACAGAAAGGGAGGGAGTAAGCAGTCTTGTCTGACTCTGGTCTTCACTTGGAATGCATCTGTCAGCTGTCTTCCATGGACTAATTTGCACTATAGTCTGTCGTATGAATTCCGGATCATGTTGACAATCTTCTCATGAACTCCATAGTGTCGAAAACGTTTTCATTATGTTCTCCTGTCCACCCTGTCAAACGCCTTCTTATAATCAATGAAGTTGACGTAAAGTGACGGATTCCATTCGATTGATTGTTCAACGATGATCAGTAGTGTTGCGATTCGGTTTCTGCACGACTGATCCTTTACGGAATCCAGCCTGTCGATCTCGAAGTTGGGTGTCTACTGAGTCTTTCATTTGGTTCAGCAACACCCTGTTACAAACCTTTCCTGGTACTGACAGTTGTGTGATGCCTCTGTAGTTCTCACAGTTGCTCAAATCTCGTTTCTTTGACATTTTGGTGAGGTGTCCTTCTTTCCAGTCCATCGACACTTGTTCTTCCTCCCAAATCTTTTTGAATAGGTGAAGCATGTTTGCAGTTACTTCAATGTCTGACTTCAGTGCTCCAGCTGGCATGTTGTCTCATCCTGCCGCTTTTTAATTC